CTCACATGCCCTATAGCAAATTAAATCATAGTAATAGTAAATAAAATTAAATAAATAATAATTATTTTTAAAAAGTGATGAATATCTGGCATTAGAAATTTCTAAGCAGAATATAGAAAGAGCTAAATGATTATTTTTAACAGCTTATAGTGAAATGAGAGAGCAAATACATGACTTAAAGATAGAATTTATAATGAAAAGAAAAGCACAGTGGAAAGATTTGGAAATTTTGCAACATGACCATCCATGTAACAAAAAGATGTGTTTGGTAGAGAGTGCTGAGTGTAACCAAGAGTGGGACCAACAGGTGGTGAAGTGGTTTAGGTGCTGAACTCCCACATAGCTGACTGTGGTTTGAGTCCCAAACCTGGGAGTTTGAAATTCACATCAGGCATGTGTGCATGTGTGCTGAAAATCCTGAGAGGAGGATGGAGGAGAAGGTACTGCAATGTGGCCATCCCCCTAGGGGCACTTTCTCTCTCTCTGTCTCTCTGGTGAGTGCACATGCCCTGTAGCAAAAATCTCTAAAAAAAAAAAAATAAAAATTTTAAAATAAAAAAAATGTGTAACCAAGAGCTAGCTTTCAAGATGTTAGCACAAATAAGAGTGAGTCAGATGCTGTAAAGATAATGGAAAAAGACTTTCAGGGTCATTACAGAGATCTTCAAGGCTGCTCCTTCTGTCATAGGCCCACAGGCTTAACAGAGCAAATGGCTTCAGGGAAAGGGCCCATGGTAAGTTTGTTGTCCTGCACCAACTCAGGACTCTGCTCCCTCCATTCTGGTGCAGCATTCCTCAGCCCTAGCTGTGGTTCAAATAGTCCAAGATGTAGCCTGACCCATTGCTATAGTTATTATTCTGCCTGCTGCTCTAGAACATGCACACAGCAGACTCAGTTGGTGTGCATGTAGTGGTAATTCTTCAGACTCACAAAATTCAAGAACTAGACTACACAGCATATCTGAAACAATCTTGGGACCTAGGCAGATATTTGTCATAGAGGTGAAGCCATTATAGATGCCCGCCATAGGGCAATGCAAAGTGAAAATGTGGGGTCAGAACTGCCACGGAGAGTCCTCGATAGGGCAAAGCCTACTGGAGCTGCAGGGGTGGAGCTGCCTTCCAGACCTCAGAACTAAAGAACTTCCCACAGCATCGATGGTCCATGGTAAAAACTTCTTATAGAGATAAGCAAAATATTTGCATAGCAAACCCCTTATTGATCACTTATAAGAGGCAAGAAACGTACAATGCTCACAGATAAGAATGGCTATGTCGCTGGACTCCCATGTAGTCGACCGTGGTTCGCATCCCGGACCCGGTGGCGTAAAACTCACGCCAGGCACATGTGCATGCATGTCCAAGATCCCGAGAGGAGAATGGAGGAGAAGGGATTGTGGCATGGCCATCCCCCCTGGGGGGTGATTTCTCGTTTTCTGTCTCTCTGTCTCTGTCTGTCTGGCAAGTGCACACGCCCTATAGCAAAAAAA